TAATTCGTGTAATTTCAATAATTGTTGATATTTTTATTTGGCTGTTTGATTTTTTAATACTGCTACTCTTCATCTTTAACATACATGAGAACCTGATTTTTATGTTCAATATTCAATGAATTAGAAAAAAATTCGAAAGGTTTGCAAAAGTGCCATCTATCCTACCTGGGTGGGATAGATGACTCCTAAGGTACGGATAGATGCCCCCTAGAGCCCTGAGAAAAATTTAATACTATTATTAGCAATTTATGTTAGAAATTATATTACAACCTCTCTGCAATAAAATAAAAATTTAATCCAGTAATTATTTACAAATTAAGTGGCTTCAAAGACACGTTTATTTTAAATTCTTTTCGATTTATATTTTTTATGATTGAAATATTATTTTATGTTTTACGATATTATCTTGATTGTACGATCATACACTATAATATTAAAACAAAGGGGCCGTAAAAAAGCTACATTATTAAACTTTTTAATGTTTTGACCCCCCCCCCTCTTTGACAATTGATTTTAACATTAAACCAAGACGCTCTCCTCCCTGTCCTGAATTGGTAACGTAATTACGGTATTACTCTTTACTTTGACATACGTACAATTGGGGATGTTAGTTGGATTCATTTGTGACATGAAAAACATTGGAATATTTTATTTGAGTGTAAATTGTCTCCGTAATAAAAATTTTCGCACACACAGTTTTCCAAAGTGGATCAAATTGAACCAAAAAATCGGATCAAAATGTGTAGATGCAACGTTTTGATCCAACTTTTTAGATCAATTTTATCCACCTTGGAAAACTGCACTGAAAAATTCAAATTATTATATACAGAACTCAACGCCCCGAGTTGCGACCTGGCTGAAACTTTCTAGGACATTAAAAAATACATCAAAATTCATTCTTTCAATTCAGAGATCTAATAGAGGACGCATCTATCCCTACTTTACTGGTGACACGTTAAAAATTTAACTATTACAATGTTGTATTATTTTTCACTGACAAGTTTGATCAATTCGTTTCCTTGATGATTCTGAACAATTAGTATTGTGGTTTTTACAAATTTTTAATTTTTTATAAAATAAAGAATTTTTAATCAATTGTTTATTAACCTTCCGAAAAGATTTGAAGGCAAAGCAAACAAATTTTTTTTTGGTTGTTAAGTACAAAAAAAATTCTTCCCAATTCCGTATTTCCAAAATAAAATGTCAGAACTTCCATCCCTACTACTTTCTACGACTTTTTTAAGTCTTTTTTTATCATCTTATAGATGCTGGTATTTTTAAGTAAGCACTGATATGAAAAACTCAATATCAATAAAATTGTTATTTTTTTTTATTCTTGACGACAGAATTGAGATACAAGTATAGGCCCTCGCACACTTCCGGCTGCCTGCACAGGCAGCCTCCCACCACGCAGAAAACGTACAAGAGTAAGAGAGACAGAAAATTCAAATTTAAATCTACTGACTCTCTGATTGGCTCTCACTGGCTTCCTGTGCAGGCAGCAAGAGGTGTGAGTGCGCCCTATGTATAATTTAAAAGCAGGCTTTTATTTTCGGGACAGAGGATGTTTATAGACCATCCGCCTATCAAGTACAGTTTTGATTATCAACGTAAGACTATAAACCAATGGTTCCATTTCTGGGAAGTAACACACTTATCTCGAGAATTTTAATCTCATTCTGTTTGTATCACTTTTCTCACGCATGTTTATCTCTGCTAAAGTAATATTTTCCAAACTTTTAAGATTTTTTTTTTAATTCAAACATATGTTGACTATTCAAATGCAGCACATTCTCCCTAGATATCCTCTCTTCCGAGAATCAAGATTTAAAAAAAAGATACTTGTAACTAAATAATAATTAATTTATTTTTTTAATTTCTTTACTTTTTTCAGGTATAAATTACTGAATTTACGGAATTTCCGATTCGCCAGGGGCGCAGTTATATGTTTTTTCATATTTACTTAAATATTACTAAATAAATAAAGTGATTTAACCAAAGATATGATTTAACATACTGTTTCCTAGATATTTAGTAGGCACTTTTTAAAAAAATTTTAAATAGCGCTTAATCTTAATATCGATAAGAATTCATAAGACGGTATAACCTTAGAATTGTTTACACTAGAAAAAGAATTATTTGATTAAAATAATATTGTCTTAATTATTATTAAATAATTATTTACCAAATGGAAGAATACAATTATTATATGAATCAATTAAATTGAATTTGAAACAAATATTTTTATGTTAATACAAAAAAATAAAAACTTTTTGCTTTTCATCACAACGATTTATGCTATTAAAAAAAATTATTTACGCTGCAATTAAACTCTTAAATATTGTCAATTATGTTATAATTATGTTGATAAACATATTGACTTATGCTTTAATTAAGCTTTACACTTGAAAAATTTTTATTTATGCTTAATGTCACTAAAATTATAGGTTTAACTGATTTTAAATGCAGTTATTAAAAATAAAAAATCTAAAATTTAAGGTTAGACTAAATAAATTATTTTAAATAATTGGATACATGAAAGTGGATAGTATTCAAAATGCCATTTTTGCAAGACAACTTTTTAGAAAATTCAATGAAGGTATTTCTCTTAGTATTGTACTTGAAAAAATCAATTTTGATAAAACATTCTTTACATTTTGAGAAAATGTTCCTCTATAGAACTATTCTGTCAATTAAAAATTTTATAACTTTTTACCTTACCGAAATTAAGATATCATGTGCAGGGATCACAATAGCTTTCTTCCTTAAAACAGGCAAAAAGGTAAATAATTTTCCAACAATAGATAACTAAAACGTGACAACAAATTTACTCAAAACATAACAATAAGTTAAAGTCGCTAAAAACTTTAAATGACTATTTTAAATGAAATTCCTAACTCAAATTTAAAAAAATATTAAGAAAAATAGTTAAAATATTTATTACTTCGAAAAATTGTCAATTTTGAAACTGAAATCATTTTTCTTCTAAAACAAGTCTACCAGAAAAATAATTTTTCACAAATTATTCAAAATTTTAAACAAATAAAAATTCAAATATTCCACATTTAATTCGATTAAAAATTGAGGGTTGCCACAGGCCTGCAAAACATGGGAAACCTGGAATTGTGATGGAATTTTTTCAAAGTCATGGAAAACATGGAAATGTCAGGGAATTTTATAAAATCTCGTTTGAAATTTTATTTTCCTTTATTTAAATCGCGAAAATCTCGAATTTTCAAGTTGACATTTTAACATTTCGGATTTAAATTTAAGGCCTAAAATTTGGAATTTCTGCGAATCTAAAGCTTTATATTGATAAAAAATTTTTCTTTATATTTTTACTTTTTTTTCATATAATTTCACTTTTCTAGTAGTTTCATTAGTTCAAATTTTTACTGGATCAAATTTTGTAAAAATGAATTTATATTGAGTAAAATTTCATGAAGTGGTATTAAGAAATTAATACATATTCAACCGAATTTGTCTTTAATCAAATTCTACTAATTGAAAATTAGTTCAAATATAAATTCTGTTAATGGAAATTTGGCTAAATAAAAGTTTTGCTAAACAATAATTAAGATACGTAAAAATTCAATCGAATAAAAATTCCACTAATTAAAATTTTTTTTAAATAATTTGTAAAAATTTTGTTGCCCATAAATTTTGTTAACCAAAAATACTGTTAAATAAAAATTCACTAAAGTAGATAATTTGTCATATGAAAAATAGTATAAATAGAAATTTCATTAAATGAAATAAAAATTCTTTGCTAAAAATATTCTATTCCTTATAATTTATACTATAAGTATAAAATGTGATTAAATAAGAATTTAATCTTGTGGACATTAAACATTATAAAGCATGGAAAAAATCATTATTTTTCACTTATAAATAATTTCATTTTGTGGTTTCTTTCAAGAAATTAAAAAACAGAATGAAAAATTGATGATAATATTAATATTTTATTGTTAATTTATTTGAATTATTTTTTTTCTAAAGCTAGTTAAAATTTATGAAAAAAATTTTATATTTGGCTCTGGAATTTTTTTGAAAATTGTCTGGAAAACCTGGAAAAGTCATAAAAATTTAAAATCAGTTTTTTCTGTCCACCCTAAAATTACATTACTCCAAATTTTAACAAATTCCAAATTAGAATTAGAATCTGTAACAATTTAATTTATATTTCTTAAAATTTGGAGTAATTGAGAGTTTTGAACTAACTGGCGTGTGGAAAAATGAATTCATAAATTATTAAAATTTAGAAAAATTGAATTTTTAACTGATTGAAATGTGGAATAATTAAATTTATAGTTGATTACAATTTGGAATACTAAAATTTTTATTTAATTGCAATCAGTAACAGCTTAATTGTTTTTAAATTTTTAGTAAATAAATTTTTAATAGATCAGAGTGTGGAATTATTGAATTAAAATCATTTAAATTTAAAAGAATTAAATGTATAACTACTTCGAGTATGGAAGAATAGAATTTATAATTAATTAAAATTTGGAAAAATTGATTTTTTAATTGACTTAAATTTAAATCATTGAATTTTTAATTCATTAAATTTTGAATTAACTAAATTTGAAATTGATTAAAATTAAAAATAAATCCATTTTGCAATTAATATTTGGAGTAATTAAGTTTGCAATAATTGATTATAATTTTAATAGGTTAAAACTTAGAATTGAAAAATATAAAAAGCATAAAAAATTCTCATAACAGATGAAATAGGGAAAAATTTAACGAAATAGATTAAATTTTTATTACAAATTTGCAATTTTTTAAGATATTAGTATTATTTTTTTGAATAATTAAAAAAAATGAAAATAAATATATCTCTATAGGGTGGAAATATTATACGTTGGACTGAAAACAGTTGGTTACCGCCCTCTTCTATTTATCTAGACCAACCAAGAAACTTATATCCCCAAAAGAGATTTTGTACTCCCAGAAGTTTTTTTAAAAGCAAAGGTTCTTGATGAGTCGTGACTAGTTTCGTGACCGTCACTCACACTGTAAAAGTAATTTTAAAGAAAACGTTCGACATTTAAAAATTCTTAACTTTGATGTTATCAATTCAAGAATGGCATAAAAAACATACAATAGATTGTCTTAAATGTAAGTTGAAAGAAATAACTTATTTTTAAAAAATAATTTGTAGATATAATATAAAAGTTTCTTTACTTTTCGCTTTTCTAATTCTTTAAATAATACCCGCGGAAGTTTGAAAGACCGAATTCTTCTTTGAGTTCGAGTTTTCTATTCCAAAAACAATACAGTCAATAGATTAACGGTTTCTTTCTTTTTTGAACCGAGTTCGAGACACCCGGAAAATATCGAGAGTGTCCGAGAGAGGTTCTGATTCTTTTATTTTTTAACCCTAGGCCCTTCAAAATGTTGTAATTGAGTACTTTCTTTATTGCTGTTTTCATTTTTCTTACTTTCAATATTGTATCTTTACATTTTATGAACCTCAGAAATCCAAAATTGACACTTTTATAATGCATTATTTTCCAAGACAATGAATGTATGTTATAAATAAATGTTAATTTTAAATTTGAGCATAAATAATTGCTTGAAATAATGAAAATTTAAAATAGACTAAACAATAACATCAACATTTTGATTAAACTACATTAACTATGTTACTAGCAATTGTTTTGCTTTTAGCAGTTACTGTAACGATCATAAACTGTGCGACCACTCCTTTTTTCTATAAGTAAAAAATATCTTAAAGCAAAAAAAGAGGATGGCAAATTCTCTTATATGATTTTAAACCCACAATAATATCCTTATCAAAACGACATGAACAAATATTTGAATTAATAAAAAAGAATTTTCACACACATATGTGTGAAAGAGATTTTCATTTTTTATAAACCTTTATCAAATGTTTAGAATATCCAAGGAATCCCGATCATTTCCCGGTTTTTCGCAGTTTACAAGTTCACTCGCTACTCTGAAAATATATTTATACAAACTAACATTTATTTATTTACCTTTTTTAAAGAAATGCTGCAATTGCAAGAACAATACCAGAAAGAATTTATTCGAAAAATATTATAATTGGTACTTTGTAAAAGTTAGCCTTTTTTAAATTTACGAGTAATTTAAATAACTTTAAAAATCAATGAACGCTTTATCAAATATATCAAATATCGGTGAAAGGTTTTGTAAAATTAAATTACTATCAATAATTTTTTATATTGAAATTATTTTATTTAATCCAACTATGTTGACATTTTTAGTATAAAAAATATGTAATACTCTTACAGAAAACTCTTATTCTTCCGTGCCTTCGTTGCGAACCCTGCAATAAAGAATTAAATCAATTAATAACACATATTTTCTTAAGTAGCTGGGTTTTTAGAAAAATTAATTTACAATTTTATCTTAAAATTATTTATATTTTTATTTGAATAAAATTTATTTACATGTTTTTTACGAATGGAGAGAAGCTAGAAAAAATTGGCAAAAATATTACAAAAAATAAGAAATGCGAAAATTTTTGATTTTTTAACAACTTTGAATTTTTTTATTATTTTTCAATTTTAATGTTTTGAATATGATTTATCGACATTAAAAAACTGAAGTATAAAAAGTTTGGTAGTAATTTACGAAAAAAAAAATATAATTAAAACTTTTCATTTTTCTAATCCCATAAGGCAGGAAATTTAAATTAAGCAACATTATCACGCGATATTATCACAATATTGCGATCAAATGTGTATAATATGAATTCCTTGATAATAGTACATACTGATTGGCAGGAGACGAATCCTTGTGGTCGTATCTGTAGTGCCGAAAAACTGCGCTTATTAACTTTCTAATAGCAGGGTAAGTCGTGTTGAGATTTCCGGGTATATTAGTATCATCCTGTTTCTGTAAGTACAGAAGTACTTCTGGAAACGAAATAACTATTGAAATAATGTCTCAAGAAAAAGTAGTTATACTGTTATACACACGTTCGAATCAAAATTTCAAGTTATTTGATGAAAAATCGATATAAAATTGTTAATTAAAAATATATAGTTGATCTGTACAAGAAAAGTTATCGGGCATTTTGAAAAACATAGTTTACAGACTAGTGTTCATTACATATATCAATTCTTTTTTTAATTATGAATTAGTTGGAATGGATATTCATCTGGAAAATCTTGATTCTTTTATTTCCGATCTTAATTCTAATATCTTAAACGTTTTAATATCAATAAGTTATATTTATATTATATAAATAAATATTATTTCAACTTTAATTATTAAAAATTAAATATAATGAAACTCACTCCAAATATTGTTGCAATCCGTGTGAGTGATATATGCTTTTCCCTCTTCTCGAACAGTGCTCTTTTTCTCCATGTAGAGAATAATGTGCAACGTTTCGTCGAAATACCCCAATGCCAACCACTTTACACGTTCATATAATGTCGTCGCGTGCTCCGCATACATGTATTCATTACTTCGTATTGGAACTCCCTGTACAATCTATAAAACAGAAATGTGCAATAAAATAAATAAAAAATTGTTTATAAAATAAATAAATACCAATAAATTAGTAACAGATAATTTATATAATTAGTAAGTGTTTTTACAGTTACCTTATAATTTTATAAAGAAAGTATTAATTAATAAATGACTGAGAAATATTAAGTTTTTATTAATTATAATTACCCTGACAATGCTTACGCATAACGAATTTTAACAAAAATTTAACATAATTTTTAAAAAAATATTCCCCAGTTTATTTTATTAATATTTCACTTTACAAAATTTTGTTCAATTTTTAAAAGAATTTAATCATTTCTTTTTGGACCCTGGACAGTCCAAGCCAAATCAATATATCATTAATATTTACTTTTTTGTTTACTTTTTTTTACTTTACAAAAAGAGCTCAATAATTTTGCTTCAAAATCTTTCATCCAGATGTTTAAGAAATAAATTTTGAAAAAATTTTAGTTAAAATTTTTTTTTGACAGATTCTAACTTATACAAAATTACATCAATTTTAATTTTAATTTTATTAAAATTAAATAGTTAATAGTTAATAGTTTTTAAACAATTTGTTTGAAAATTTGAAGTACAACATTTTCAAAAAACTATTTACAATTTCTTTTAATTTATAAATTCAAATTTTATGTAGGTATAAAATTGTTTTTATGTTTTGATTTTTTTAAAAACATTTGTAAAAAGTACTTGATTCTACACAAATTTTTAACGTGATCTCATTATAAGAAAACTATTTCATTTATTAAACTCCTTTAATTTGGGATTTTTTTTAACATATTGACGCATTTTAATGCGTTTATTTGGAAAATCATAGTCAAAATCTATAAAAATTTGATATATATATTGTGTAAAAAATTAAATATCCCGCTTGAGGAAGTGTTTAGCGTATAACTTTCCTGAACATTTAACTGAAATTTTTAGGAAAGTTTCGTCGTTAAAACTTTTTTGAAAACTTAACTGATATTTTTAGGAAAGTTTTACGCCAAATATTTTCTCAAGCAGGATATTTAATTTTTTACACAGTTTTTAGGAAATATTGCAATGAAATATTTCGAAATTTCAATTAAATATTTCAGAAAGTTTTAGGAAATTTTCGGTGCTGTGGGGGATTTTGTAAAGTGTTAGATACAAAATTTTGAAAAAATCATGGAGCTCTTTTTTCGTAAAGTACGAAAGTTGTATGCTGAATTAGCGTGAACTGTCAGGACAGGACCTTATATGTAATATGTACAAAAATAGATTTTTTATTATTTAGTGACTCTAACAGAGAAGATTTTTTTATATCAGAATCAGTAAACAGAATTTTGATTTTTGTATGTAAGGTCCCTATTAACTGTATACACCTGTGGTATTAGAAAATTGTAAGTAACATTAGAATTAAATTAAAATTGTTATAATTAATAAAAATATAGTATTTTTCGGAAAGCAAGAGAGTGCTATTAATCTATTATAATTTTTAAAAAATAAACATGGCATTTTCTTTTTAAGTTATCATCATAGAGCCGCATAAATACTTTTGTGACTCCATATCAAATTAAGTGTATAAGTGCATAATTACTGAAGTGAGCAATTATAAAATAATAAATTTTACTTGTATACTTTCGAGACGCTCTATCCTACTCTTTCAAATGCTGAAAAATTTTTTTGCGTAAAATTAAAAAATTTAACCAGATTTTTAATTCAAAATTATTTTGGTATTTTTACAAATCAGCAGTTTTTTTAATATTCTTTTTAATTAATATATCTTAAAATGTATCCTTTTAGTACATGAAATATAAGTGTCGCTTTTTTTAGTTTCCAACATATAAGTAAATTAATAAAAGTTAACCCTTTGCCTGTGCAAAAAAAAGTGTCCAATTTAAAGACCACAAAAAACACATACATATAAAACATTTATTTTAAAATTCTTAAATAACAGGAACTAATATTCACAATAGGCAATCTTGATATTTACTATGTTTAATTACTTAGGGAATTTTGCAACATATTTATTATTATTCATAATTCATTTATCTGTTATTTAAAATTTTTATTACCTTGTGAGACTCTCGAAGAGCATTGTAATCTGCGATGTGTTTAAGTACGCCTAATATTTCATCTCTAGATTGACAGACTTCTTGTCTCAATTCTTTTACTTCATTACGTACAGATTCTGTATCCTTTGTTTGTATTTCACGCATGTCATCCAGTTTCTCGTGCATTTCTTCTCTCAACTGATTAACATCCGCTGAATTCGCCGTCTATAAAATTAATTAGTATAATACCTATTAGGCATTATTGCTGAGTTTGCAACCTTTTTTAATTTGGAAAATAAAAACAAAACTTAATTTTAAAGAAGATGGGATTAAAAATACTATACTATATTAAATGTATACTATAACACTATACATAACAAAAATATAATATACACAAACGTAAATCTGTTAAGTTTTGACATAGTTACATGGATTTGGAGATGACAGAGTCATTTAAAAATTAAAAACTTAAAACCCCCTATTGCTTAAATTTTTTTTAAATAATCTGATACATTGGGAGTTTATTACGTTTATGTAGGACATACGCTCTCAAAATTATAAGCCAATTCCATAACTACTTTTGGGTCAGCTTAACATTAATACCTATGTTAAATAAATTTAACGTTATCAAAAAACATATTTTGAAAAATGTTAATTTAATAACCAAACCTATTAAAGTATAAAAAACAATGAATTCATTACCGACGGCAACTGTTTTTCCACGGAATTAGATGCATTTTCAAGAGCCCGTGCCTCGTCATATTTTTGTAGAAAAAATTTGTCTCCGGCGTCTTCATTCCGTTTTTTCTGTATTGCAGCCTTTTTCTAGAAAATAAAACATTGTACGTAGTTTACTTTTATTCTATATATATATAATTATAATTTGAAAAAGAAATTATTTTGACCATGTTAGAATATAGTATTTATTTATTTATTTTAATATTATTTATTCATTATTATAGAAATGACAAATCGATATTAAAGCTACTACTTTTTTGCAATTACGAAAAAAAGTAATGAAAAATATTTTGCAACAAAGTTTCACAATTTACATAAATTTAAAAAAAAAATTACCAGCCTTTTTTCAATATAAATTTATATAATATTAAAATTTAAAGCTTATTCAATTAAAATTTAACTACTCGACAATTTGTATTATATATTTTTCATTCACAATATCTTTACTTTTCTTTATAAATCTGAATAACATGCCCTTAATGTAAAAATTTTGTCATTTATGTAAAAACTGCTGTGCTATAAACATTTTAATGTAATTTTTTCCCCAAATTTTAATAATACTCATAGAAGAAAATAATAAAACCTTTAATATTATTTTACCAGAATAATTCACTATTGTTAGAATGTATGATAGAATTACCATTTAACATATTATTGTCAACGTTGTACAATTTTTATCGGAACTAAAATTAATTTGGCGGTACTAATTAATCGAATTTCAATTAGTTAGAATTTCAATTTGCTTGAATAATAAACACACATACATAAAAACAAAGTTTTTGGCCGAAACACTGCACTCCCACATATTTTTAGACATTAAAATGTTTGAGATACCAAATCTTAAAAAAAATTGAAGAAACGAATTAACAGCAGAAATAAAAAGTTTTTCTATTAAGACACCACATCAGAGTATTTCCATGCATTTTTTCCAGTTGAATCAGCAAAATTATCAAATTGTCTCAAATTATCTTGGAAAGAAACTCGAAATCTTTTCAAAAAATATTTTTGAATGTTATTTTCAAAAATTGGAACCAAATTATGACTCCAAATTCGGATTCAGCGAGAAAATTGAAAAATGAAACTTATTTTTTTATTTAAACAGAAACTTGAAAATGAACTTAATTTTTAATTTTCCTGTTAATGTAGTGTCACGGCAAAGAAACCATTTTTGTGTTATTTATCAAAACAGTATTTTAAAAAGAAATTTATTTTGTGTGAAAAAATTAAAAATTTCTATTTTACCAGAATATTTAATTTTTATAATGTTAAAATTTGGAAAATTTTCTATTAAACAGAAATTATTGAGAAATTAACAAAAATCGAGACGAAAATTAATTTTACGGAAATGCAGTTTGATCAAATGTAAATTTATCAGAATATTTATTTAAAAGAAGATAAATTGAGCATAAAGAAAACCTTAAAAAAAATTTAAGTGTAGCAGAGAATATTCATTTGTTATGATTTTAATTTTATAGAAAAGAAAAATGGTGGAAAATATATTTGACAAAAATATTTCGGCACAATTTAGAAATTGAATGCTTATAACAAGTAGTATATTAAAATAAAACTTACATCTGCCTGTGCAGCATTTTTTTTGGTTACCGTTATTGCATCTTTTCTTTTATTTTTTGGACCTATCAATTCTGGGGTAAACTTCTTGTAATCTTTTTTTTGGCGACCACCTCTTCTGACAGCATTTCCTAATAAATTAAAATATAAACACAATTACGGTCGTATAAGGCTATTGTAGTACAAAAACGCAACTTTTTCTATTCAAAAATTCTCCAATATTCTAAACACTATATATAAGAATTTATTAATTTTGTTGTGGACATTCTTCTGAAAATTTTCTGTAAGTATTGTTATATACAATTTTATATTACTTGAAATATATTGACAGTTAAAATTTGCATAATCATATTTTTGTTTTCGAGACAATTATGCTACAAAATTTTTATTGTTCATAAAATAGAGTAAACGTTTTTTTTCGAATTAGTCTGTGTGAAAACTTTAAACTACAAAATGTAGAAAATATTTTTTATTATTTTATATTGTATCCCCTAACAAATTATAATTCACTTATTTTTATTTCAAATAAAAAAAATTAAATTTTGTATAATTATTTTTAATGAAGTTTTCGTTGTACAATAGTTGTCTCATCAATAATAATTGGATGTCTTACGCGTACCTTAACCATTGTTTAAATTACTCTGGTAAATTTTATGATTGATGTTGAATTTTAGATTTTAAAATTTTCTAACCAAACTTTTTCATCTGTACAAATGTTTATAAATATGCCCCTGGTGTACTACAATTATTTAGGTCAACGGTACTGAATATAAACAGTAAATTATTGAAATTTACATTTATATTGTGCAAAAAATAATTGAAATATACCTGATGAACTAGGAGTACTGCTTGAGTTTCCAGTACATTGCTGTTCTTCCTTCTCCTCCATTGTTTTAATCTAAAAATTAAAAAAGCAGTAAATAATTTTTTATTCTGTGAAATTTTACTTTGCGAATCAAATATTTAAAAAGTTTTTATCAAAGTGCTAATTTTCATGCAAGAAACATTCAAAGTAATAAATTCTTGAAAAAGTTATGGTTATATGAAAGAAAAATTATTTTATACATGTTATGTTCGCTTTAAGTATATTTTTAAAATTTTGAGAATTAAAAAGCGACAAAGCTTTCTTTACGAACAAGTAAAAATATGTAAATACAAAAAAAAACAAAGAAACAAAGAAACTAAAGAGAAAAATTAATATTCGATTCTTTTAGTGAAAATATGAAAAGTCCACAAAATAATTTGGAAAAAATTTTATATTATGAAAAAGGAACTGTTTTTCTATTAAATTTTAGAAGTAATATTTTAAAATATGATAAATCCTTGTTTTCTTATTTTGAGAAATTAAAAGAAATGTCATTTTTGATACGACCACAAAAGTTAAGTCGAAGGTAAAAAAATTAGTATGAATTATTCGTATAGAAGTGTTTTTCGACGACATTTTTCTATTAATTGCAATCCATTATATTTAGATTAAAATGTTTTAGTAATTTTTAATATCATCATCATTAATATAATTACTAAATACCACCGAGTGAGAAATTGAAAATAATATTATAAAATTGTTTAATTTTCAGTCATCTAAGTTAAATCTAAATGTTTTTAAATTAAAAACTTTTTGTTAATTTAATCTTTTTTAAATACAACAGTAAAACTATGATTTGCAAGGACGGTAATATGTTAAATCTGTGTAAACCTTCATTTTTTTGAAAAATATATTTTATAAACCTTTTCAAACTTGCTTTTCATTTAAAATGTAGACTAAAATATTGGAAGTAGAATTGGTCGCATGTAATTATCTAAAGTCGGTTCTACATTAAGTTTAACGTGATGCACAGACGCAAAGTATCTTAGTGTTAAATGTGAATGGAAACGCGTCACGGAAGACGTTCACATACGAACGTCCTTATTGTAAAATGAACATTACGAATTGCGTATTTTACTGTCACCAAACCCTATAGAATTTTTATGTATTCCGATACTTAACTCGCAAAATGTTTGAAATTTTTCCAGTTTTGTAAAGTGCAATTAAAATTTGAAAATAACTATATAAATTATATACTATATTACAAACTAATAAATTTACGGTAATTCTAATGTTAAGCTTAATAAAGTTTTTAGAATTCTGCTTTTAACGAGTCTAAGATGAAGCATTTTTGATTATCAGATTTTGAATAAATAAATAATTAATTTTAATTAATAATTATTTATTAATAATCTGTTAATTCAACATAATTTATATTGGGTTTTTTAAATTCGGAAATTGATAAACTTTTAGCTTTTGGGTTTAGAATAAGTCTAACCTCATGTTTTAAAGTCTATTTCTTTTATTATTAATAATTATGAATTGAGTAATTTTTACCTTTAAAACAAGAAACAAATGAAAACAATTTTGATTTTTGTAAAAAGGGTAATATTTTGATTTTGTTTCGCCATTCAAAAGAGCAAGAAAAAACTTCTCGAAAACATGTAAGGTAAACTACCAATAGTCGTCAATAATTAAAAAAAAAATAATAACTTGCAAGTAAATGAATGTTTTTTAAATTTTCTTTTTTAGTTGTGTAGAGGACGTTTTAACCTTCAAATTGGTAGTTTGTAAATCAATTGAAATATTTATTTTTAAAAAATATTTCAAAAACAAGTGCTTCAAACCAATAGTCGACAATCAATTATAGCCATTTAAACCAGGCCAACTAATAGTCGACTAATCTTTTTATATTTAATATAATTAAATTATAATTGATTAAACATGTATAAAAAGAGGTTATAATACTAGCTAATAATATTCGTAATATATTTCAAGAAATATCTGCACTTTTTAATCAAATAATAATTACTTATATCCATCGTTTCAGACTTGTCACTTCGAAAGAGAACGCACTTACCACACACGAAAATGTTTAAATTATGCCTTGTGTAAACCGCAGAGCTTTTCAAGTAAACGTTCACTTTATACACGGTCTGCACAACTTTGTAGAGACAAAGACAATTAATCACCTCTGCGCATCACTGCACCTGTTGTAGCTGTCCAGTGTTGTTATTATTATCCGTCAGATTAGGCGCTGCAGTCGTAATCACCAGAGCGGGCACATATAAGTTTGAAAACTCGTCAAAGTAAAAAGGGGTCTCGCGGAAAAGTCCGCCAATAACTGGTTGCGTGTCGGATCGTGCTTGATTCTTGACCACAAAGTAAATAAAGGAACATAACCTCTAAAAATAAGTGTATTTTTAAGGTATCACATCGGCACTAATCGGAGTCAAAAGTTTGTAGCTCGCATTACTACTTCCCGCAGTATACTTTCGCCCTCAACTCCCTATACTCTCAGCCCATACTGTACCTACTTCTACAAATACACTCGTACACGTATACCCCACACTAGCAGCGATTGGAAGGAGTAGGAGGTTTGACAACGTCGCTATAAGTCCCGCTTTGACTACTGTGGACTACTGTCTCTCTCTAACTAATGTTACCATCCTGCGATGTTGCCACATCAAAGTGGCGGGTGTGCTATATATTACAAATGACGTCATGAAATAGAATTTTTAATTTATAATTACAAATAAACGGCACGGTAAATTATAAATTTTTTTGTATATTTTAGTTCCAAATTTATTCGTGAATTCAACATTAGTTTTTGAAAAAAATTTATAGAAAACTTCTGATGATATTTATGAAAATGTACTTCTCCCCCATACATTAGTCCCGTCTCCCATGCAAAATAAGCAACTTTGATTGCTAATATCTCTGGTTTCGTACGGCGAAAATTCTTTATATTTTGCAAATTTGTCAAGAATGATAATAAGAACATATGGTAAAATTTTCAAGAAAATCTATAGAAAACGGTTTTACCGATGTGATACCTTAACATGTATTTTATTTATATAGTTTTTGCTTTGAATTGGTTGCTTGGAGGTCTTTAAGATCGCTGACTAAACAAATCTGCCGTCAGTTTTCCAAAATTAAAAATGCCGGACAAAGAAATAAGAAACTTATATATTGGATTTAAATAATACTGAACACTTGGGGGTTTTTTGGGTCGCTGACCATGAATCTGGCACCAGTTTTTCAAAATTTTAAATAGCGGATTCAATATGGCAGTCAAAAACAATTAAACACTTATCGGCAAAAAGACTAGAAACAGAAAGTCGAACTCGAGAAGTGGCAGTAACCTTCTGCGCAAACAAAACTCAAACTGTGAGTTAATATATTTTACTTACAATTTGAGGTTATGTATTATTATTATTTATTATATTAAATAAATTAAATAACTACCCAATTATTCGTATACGAATAATTGGTTAGTTCAAAAATTTGAGGTTATGTTATATGCATTTTCTCGGTTTCTGACATTTCTTCAAATTTCTTGAAAAAACAAAATATGGATTTATCAACTTTTGAAAACTTTTTCCTCATTTACTATACTCATTTACTATACTCATTTACTATACAATAGAACCCCCTACTGCGTGTTCACTATTTTCACGGAGATTTAATGTACCCCCACTCCTTGAGTTAGACCTTCTGTTTATCTAGTATTCTTGCTTATAGGTTTTAATTAAAAGTGGTAACTTGGGGGCGTTTATGACTGACTGCGAACTTGACATCACATTTTTAAAATTTAAAATGCCGGATTCAATATGGCGGACAAAAAATTTAAAACTTATCAGATTTAATTAAACCTAGTTACATGGTGGTTTTTAACATCGCTGACTACGAATCTGGCAAATATAGGTTTTTAAATTTTTAAATGGCTGATCTAATATGGTGAACAAAAAGAATTTAAGACTTATATTATCAAATTCAATTGAAACTGGTTACTTTGAGGTTTTTTGGATCGCTGACTATGAATTTGGCATCGATTATTTAAACTGAAATAGCGGATCCAATATGGCAGTTTTTTTCAAATTCAGAAAGAAACACTTGAAACCTTCTACTCAGGAATTTTTGGGGTCGTTGATTATAAATCAGATTAAATTTTTGTTAATTCAAAATGGCAGGACACCATAGTGTGGGAACTTTTAAAAATTAATTAAATTTGCTTGAAACAAGTTACTCTGAATTTTCTGGATCGTCGATTAAAAATCTAGCATCGTACTATCCGTATAAATTTACGTTTATTGGCCCAAGTTAACATTATAAATAAATACATATGACAGTTCAAAAATCTAAAAACTTAAACCCGTTTTGAATAAGAAATATGAAATATAATTTAAAAAGAAGAAAGTCAACAATAACATCTTTATCGACTATAACATTACCACTAAAGTTATGTTCATATGATAAATTTACCATAAAAACACTACTTACATTTAAGATGGAATTCTGATTTATCAAAATCAAATTCAAAAATTCTTTATAAACAAATATGCAAACTACACGAATCCGTGAAATAATTTTATTTACAAATTATTACAAATTATTTTAATAGCTCAACGTTTTTGTACCAGAATGGATTTTTAATTATATTGGAAAGTGGTCGGTTTCTCCAATTTTTCGGGAGTAAACTGTCAGACTTATGGTGGAATTACATATTAAAAGATGCTAACTATTTAGTTTATAAGTGAGATTGATTAAAGAGAAAATAAAGTAATTTAATGTAAATTCAGTAAGCGAAAACTTCGTATTTAATATATATATATATATCTACCTATATTACAAAAAGATATCGCCGCCAACGCCGCCGCCGCCGCCGCTGTTCCAAGACTCTGAATATAGCCGCAAGTCAAGAGAAGGGGGGGGGAGAAGAGAAGGGAGAGGGGGGGGACTTGCGGCTATATTCAGAGTCTTGAAACGATCTTAACCATTAAATTTAGGGTGGGGGGAGGGGAAAAGGAGGGGAAGAGAGGAGGGGGGATGGGGGTTGGCGCGCGAAGCCGCTGTTCCATGACTCTGAATATAGCCGCAAGTCAAGAGAAGGGGGGGTAGAAGAGAAGGGAGAGGGGGGACTTGCGGCTATATTCAGAGTCTTGAAACGAACATAACCTTTAAATTTAGGGTGGTGGTGGGGAAAAGGAGGGGAAGAGAGGAGGGGGGATGGGGGTTGGCGCGCGAAGCGCGCAGGGGGCATAACCCCCTAGTATATATATATAGATAGATATATATATTTATTTTTATTTTCAAAACAAAAAGGAAGAAGATTAAGATTTTAGACGAAGATATTCTTATGCCATTTTGAATTGTCTAGATAGAGAAACGCAATGTTAAACGAAGAAGTACTTATGTTATATTCCTTGGTGTAAGAAAGAAAGGTATGCGTTACCTATTTAGTTTTAGACTTTCTTTATAGTTTTTTTACGTGATAAAGACAGAAAGAAATTATTACCTGGGTCCTCAGAGTTATTAATTAATCCTCTTTAAAAGATTGCAGGTCAAGTGAACCCTCATTTGCAAAATAAAGATATATCTTTCTCTCTCCATAACTTGTTCTTTTCTCTGTCACCGAAAACCCAGCAGGGGTCCGGACGGAATGAATGAATGGACGGAATGAAGGAATGAATTCAAAGATTATTATAGTTAATTTTGTAAACAAATTGAAAATAAGAAACTTATCTTGAAATATCTGAAGAACAAATTTTATTTTTCAATAATGCATTCAAAGACAAAAATTTTTTGTTGATTTTTAAATTTGTCAACTTGAAAACAAAAAAATAATATTTTCTTGACTTCTAGAAAAGTATGTTGTTGAATATAAAAAAATTTAGTACTAACAATTTAAAAAAAAATTTGCATTACAATGGTAAGAAGGTAATTATTTTCAATTTATAATTAAAGTCTTCAAGAAATTAAATCTATTATATATAAGTATAAAAATCATATAATTTTTAATAATAATGAATATTTAATAATAAAAATAATTATTTATTTAGCCTATAATAAACTGTAGATAAAATTATTATTTTTTTCTAGTTTTATGATTAATGAAAATCTCAAAAAATTGTACTAAAATTTATTTATTTGTTGTAAACAAAAAAATTGTTAGTTCTATTTTTAAGTTTTTGATGAATTTTGAAACTAAAAGAAAATAATAATTTCAGCAACAGAGATAAATATAGAGCATAGAAAGAATTAAATTTTTTTAAATATTCATTATGTTTAAAAATTATATCTTTTTATCGTAATAAATAATAGATTACCAGTTATTAATTTGTTTTATATTCAACAACATACTTTTCTAGATGTGAAAAAAAATTATTTTTTCGTTTTTTTTAAATTGACCAATTTAAAAATCACAAGGAAATCTTTGCCTTGGAGCGCTGAGCTCAAAAATAAAATTTTGCTTCAAATAATTCAAGTTAAACTCCTTTTTTTCAATTTATCTGTAAAATGTAAATAATAAACAGCGTAATTTATGTCTTAAAAATTTTATATTCAAAACTTTTTAATACATTGAAAACATTTCTTTTTGTTAACATTCTATAAATAAATAAAAAGTAGAATATTGAAAAAAAATATTTTGCAACAAATATTATTTTTTAACAATACGTTCTTCATTGGATATTTGGATTCTATGCAAAAAATACACGTCTTTTAAACTGTTACAAATTTATTTATTGTTTGAAAAAAATGTTAGTACCATTTTTTGGAGATTTAGATGAATTTTTAAACTTGAAAAAACTGATAACTTTAGCAACATAGTTTAATGTAGGGCAAACGACCAATTTTTCTATTAAATATTTATCATATTTAAAAATTATATAATTTATATATAAAAAATTTAATTTCGCAGTCTTTAATTATAAAATGAAAATAATTACTAATTAAAAAAAATAGTTGAATTATGAAGGTAAAGAGATTATTTTATTTATTTGATTTTTTAAGACTTAGAAGAATAAATATATCATACAGAGTGATCTTTTTGCAAAAATTACCATTTTTGTAAATATAAAGAGGATATATTTTTTAAAGATAATTAATATATATTTAAAAAATTGTATTTCTGCTTTATAATGATCTATTTTGCTGAAATTATTAGTTTTTGATAATTTTAAAATTCATCTAAATCTCTAAAAATAGTACTAAAATTTTTTTTATTTCAAGCAATGTAAATTTGTAAGAATATGATTTTTAAAAATAATATTTGTTGTAAAATAATTTATTATAATAAATGAATAACAAAGTCTTTTGTTTTATTTATTTTTAGCAAGAAGTAATGTTTTTCATTTTAATATTTTTGGAAATACAAATTGTAAGACATAAATTACACAGCTTTTTATTAACATTTTATAAATAAACTGTGAAAAAGTAATTTATTTTCAAATATTTGAAAAAAAATTTATTTTTGAACACATTATGCGAAGAAAAAAATTTTCTTTTGGTTTTTAAATTAGTGAATTTGAAAACAACAAAAAAATATTACTTTTTGACTTCACAAAATTGTATTGTTGAATTCAAAAAACATTATTAGTCCGAATAATATCACAAAGATAATTATTTTCAATGTACTATATAACTATGTACCTTTATATTTTATTTTAAAAAGTCTTATATAATTACAATTTTTGTTGTAGGAACTTAGAGTCATGGATAATAATCAACAACACCCATTGCAACAACAACCGTTGCAACAACAACCGTTGCAACAACAACCGTTGCAACAACAACCGTTGCAACAACAACCGTTGCAACAACAACCATGGCAACAACAACCGTTGCAACACCAACCGTTGCAACAACAACGGTTGCAACAACAACCGTTGCAACAACAACAGATGCAACAACAACCATGGCAACAACAACAGATGCAACAACCAAATACCCTGCAAAAGTCGCCTACGGCGATAAATATTCGTCACTTTCAAAATGTAAGTTGCCCTTTTATATATTAGAGCGATAAAATTTTTAGCTTACTTCTGAAGCATTTTGATGTACTGGATCCAAATTTTACCTTGATGCAGCACATCAGATTTTCAAAATATTCTAACCTAAAAGTGCAAAGAAGATATTTTTTCTATCACATTTGAGACCGCGTAACATTATAATATAATTTTTTTAAGAAGGTGGTTTTAGCATCTGAATGTACTATTATTACCCTTAGATTTTATTTTAAAACTTCAAAAATCTTTATTTGGTTCTGGGTTATCGCTATTTAAATTTTTATAAGCATTATCTGATACACGAATATTGAAATATTCGTAACCACTCAAAAAATTCAAATGACGATAATTCAGAGTCAAGTAAAGATTTTTTAAGTTTCTAAATACATTGGGTAAGAATAGTATTATCAGATGCTGAATCCACCTTTTTGAAAAAAAATTATATTTTAATTTTACACGACATCAATTACAATGAAAAAAGTCTTTTTGTACTTTTAGGTTAGAATATCTTGAAAACCTGACGTGCTGAATGAATTCTGAAGTCAGATTTGGATTTATCAAGTCAAAATGCCTTTATAAAGTTTTCAATTAAAAAATTATTAAAATTTAGATTTGTTCTCTATTTTCTAATAAATTCTTCAATTTAATATTCTGTGAAATTTAATTCTTCACTAAAATGGAGTAATAAGAATAGGTAAATAAATAATTAGTAATAAATAATAATTTTTTAATTATTTCTTTCAGTCTCTAAGAAAAATGGAGGGAAGAATTGGCGAATTAGAAAGGCAAATGAGGAAAATAAAACTGGACGTCCGGGACATTGAAGGCGAGCGGGATAGAGAAAGAAAGAAAGAACGAGAAAGGGAACGAGAGAGAGATCGAGAAAGGGAGAAAAAGAGGGAATACAGGAATAAATATAATTAAATAATAATATAATAATTTGTGTACTTAATTATTAAAAATAAAACTTATTTTTTGGATCGCATTTTTTCTTCATAATTTATTTATTTATTTATTGAAAATATACTAGACAATTTATAAAAAAAAATTATATTTTGTTTTTAAATAGTGTTTTTTACTGTTTTTAATTTTTTAGCTAGACGCAAATATTTATAGGGTCAGAATTTCTCAAACGGATCACCTAAAATTCAGAAATTTTTTTTTGATCAAAAATCATTTCTTTTGACTTATTACATGGTAAAAATAAGTCCCTGAAATTTTTAGGTCAAAACAAATTTTTTGTTAAAGTTATAAACAATTGAAATTTTTTGCATTCATATTTTTAAAAAAATTTTTCTCCAGTTCCTGTTCACCAATTAAAAAAAAGGGTTTTTCTCGTCTTAAAATGTAGTTGGACGTTGATAAGATGCCCGTTCATTTGTCAGAATAATAAAATGCCAACTCGAGCTCAGTTCAATATGAAGCTAGTTCAATTGTCAAAATAATAAAAAGCTAACTCACTTTCCGTGTAATATAATCCTATCTCGCATTAAATTCGAATTCAAGGTTTCGTAAATTAAAAAAAGGAGTTTAAGTCGATCAGAATATTAATTCATACTTTTTAATGATTAATTAGTTATTAATAATTATTAATAAAATAAGAAATAGAATAAAAAACATTAAATAATAAAATAAATGAAAATAAAAAATAATATTAAAACAGAAAAAAGTAAGGTTTTATGTAAAAATCATTTTTCCCAAAAATCTACCGAATAAAAAAGATTAAATATTGAAGCACAATAATTAATTGACGTGAGGGATAAAATTTTTATTGTCTCCGTTATTTTTTTAAATAATATTATATGATGTTATATTGAGTTTAGTTTGAATTCAAGTTTTCGTAAAATAAAAAATTTTTAACGCGATCGGAATATTAATTTAATATTTTGTAATGATTAATTAATGATTAACAAAATAAAAAAATTATAATTAATAAAATAATATTAGTAATAAATAATTCAAGGCTAAATTAATTTTTTTCTTTTTTAATAATATTTTTTATTTTCATTTTATTTATTATTTGTTTTTTATTCTATTTCTTATTTTATTAATAATTATTAATCACTAATTAATCATTAAAAAGTATGAATTAATATTCTGATCGACTTAAACTTCTTTTTTAATTAACGAAAACTTGAATTCGAATTTAATGCGAGATAGGATTATATTATACAGAAACTGAGTTAGCCTTTTATTATTTTGACAAATTGAACTGAGCTCGAGTTGGCATTTTATTATTCTGACAAATGAACGAGCATCTTATCAACGGGAGGCGTCGAGTTTCTAAATATAATTTTTATTTTGAAAAAATTTCATATTTAATAGATTTTTATATTATTTATTTATAAAATGTTATTAAAAAATAGTGTTCTTGACGTCCTACAGAAAATTAAATTTTTTTTGAATTCCCCACATAATTTTGTGTAAGAAACCGTTGACAAAAAAAATTAGACTAAAAAAAAATTTCTGAATTTTAGGTGATCCGTTTGAGAAATTTTGACCCTATAGCATATATTTTTAAAAACTAAGAAACAACAAATGAATGATAATGGAAAAAGATTATATTTGAAGAATAATAACTGCTTGAAATTATGTGAGCAGTACTAATAAAAATAAAAATATTAATTTATAAACTAAAAATATTACAAACTAAAAACACCACTTTCGCAGATAGGAAAAAAATTCTTTAGTCATCACTGATTGCAGTACAAAAAAAATTAAAAACCGAAAGTTTCTATCTTTGAGAAAACTCACTTTCTAATTTTAATTTCAGCTTTTTTGTTGCTACCCTTATAGGTACGTTATGTTTTAGCACATTTGAAAAATTTGAGGAAAAGTGAACAAATTTCATATACAGCACAATTTTTTATTCTTTTGTACAGTAAATAAAAAATGTTTCAAAAATACACTGCCTTTGATGACGTTAAATTTCAAAAAATTATAACTTCCTTCATTTTTATCAAATAAAAAAATACGTATTTTTTATTTTTCATATTAATATCGAAAGAAATTATTGGACAAAATAAATTTTAAATGAAAATTCCGCGTGGAATGCCCCAAATAAATGTAAATAAAACATACTTATTGGAAAAATATTTATTCGTTAAAAAAAAATTTACACATAAAATAATAAAATTCACAATTTGCAGCAACACTAAATTAACTATTTTTTACAATTAATTATTTATAAAATTCCTGTTTTTATTTATATTGTGTTATAATATTATTTATACTATACTAAACGTTTTCTTATATTTCTATTTATTTCCTTCAGAATATTTTAAATATGACGACTAACTGGTTATGAACATGTCCGCCAGAGGCGCTGCTCTTATATTCCTAAATATTGAAATTACATAAAAGTTATAAGAAAAATTTTTTTGAATAAAATTATGTATATATACCAGAAAACGGTATATTAAGGTGCCATTATTTATCCCCTAAAATAGATTTTCAAATTTTTTTTACCTTTAGAAGAAATCTTACGAAAACCAAAAAACTCAAATATCGATAACTTACCATCGCCATTTCATCACTGGGTGCTCAATTATTAATATTAGTAAAAAATTTTTTAAACAAAATATACAATAAAGACCAGAACATGATATATTTTCATGCCCTTTATCATATCCTAAAATATTGTTTAAAAATTTCTTACCAATTACGAAAAATCTCACTTTTAAAATTTTTGACAAAAAAATTTAAAAAAATTTTTTTTGTTTCAAATATTTTAAAAATACCAGAAAAAGGTAGTTAAACATTCACTTATTCATCTCCTAAAATATTATTAAAAAATTTATTACTATTTAGGAGAAATCTTACGAAATACAATTATCGATTTTTCTAATGATTTTCAATAACATGACCTTAAATAAAAATTTGAAATATTTATTCTATATAAAACACGTTGCGGCTCAAATAACTTGAACCTCATTAAAAACTCGATTTTTCTTAAATTTCTTTAGGTAAATTGCCCTTATTTCTTTAAAAATTGACATTTTCAAATTTTTTCTTTTGGGTTCTCTTCTTTAAACACTCGCGTACAATGTACAATATATAGAAACTCTTTTTCTTGTCAATCTTTGTTAAGTTTTTAAAAAATCATCAAAAAACATGATTTTCCTGATTTTTTGGGTTATATCTCATGAAAAATGCATTTAAATGTTATTTCAGTGTAAAATATTTTAATTTACGTGTTTTCAGCTTTAAAATTAAAAAAAATATTGAATTTGGAATTTATAGCATTTTTAAACAATAAAAATGAGCAGCCAAAATTGTTTCGAGAAGAAAAGTAGATGTAGATAGTTAAATACAGTTGGAAGACGAAGTATTTTGATTCAGGTATTCTAAAAGCTGATCCAATTTCATGCGAAATAAATACAAATCCATTAGAAAATCTTTATAAGGGTTCAAGATATTTACAAATGAATATAACTCTCGCCGTGCGGAGTAGCCGCAACTTATTATTTGCAAAATAATTTCATTTTTTCAATTTATATACGTCGAAGCTTATATATAGCTTTTTCTACATTAGTTGGCAACGACTTTTGCCGAAACGTAATGGAATGTCAATAAATTCCCAGCGGGCACAAGGACGTTTTACGTTTTAAAAACGTTTCTAGAACGTCCTATGTCAGTACAAAAAACGTTTAAAAAACTTTCACGTTCTAACAACGTTTTAAAACGTTTTTAGAACGTGAATGTTTTTAAATCGTTTTTTGTTCTGACATAGAACTTTCTAAGAACGTTTTTAAAACGTAAAACGTCCTTGTGCTCACTGGGATTGAATGTACTATGGGTGTACGTTACCTTTCATAAGGACTGGTGATTTCCATGATTGTTAATAATGATTTAATTATTTTCAGGATAAAATGATTTCTGATTTTGAATTACTTCTTATTTTGGCATTAATGGCCTCTTTCATAATTTTAAGAAGAAAGAGCCTCGGCAAAAAGTGCCCCTTTTTCGTACCTCGAATTTTGAAACTTTTTTTATGCCAAATGGTTACATATGATGACCCAATAATCCCTGCAAAATTTTAAGATGAGCATGTGCCCCCTTTCCGAAATACAGGGGGTCAAAGGGGGCCATGTATAAAATTAGAATATGCAATATAATCGAATAATAATGTTAAAAAAAATCAGACCAAATGATTCCCTTAAGATATTCTTCTGCTGATTACGAATCTAAAGTCCGTTTTTAAAAATTAAAAATGGCGGATCCAATATGGCGGACGACATTTTTAAAAATCGATCCAATTGACGTGAAAATCGTTACTCGGGGGTTTTTGGGGTCTCTGATTACGAATATGATGTCCGTTTTTAAAAATTCAAAATGGCGGATCCAATATGGCGGACGACATTTTTAAAAATCGATCCAATTGACGTGAAAATCGTTACTCTGGGGTTTTTGGGGTCTCTGATTACGAGTATGATGTCCGTTTTTAAAAATTCAAAATGGCGGTTCCAATATGGCAGACGACAATTTTAAAAATCGATCCAATTGACTTGAAAAAAAATAATTGGTTAGATAACTTCATCTTACCTATGTTGGTTGGATTCTAATCCCTTATCTTTGTTGATCGGCTTGTCGATTACATCTTGCCTTCATTGGTTGGATAACTTTATCTTACCTTTGTTGGTTGGATTATTATCTCTTATCTTTGCTGATCGGGTTGTCGATTACATCTTGCCTTCATTGGTTGGGATACTACTTCTTATCTTTGTTGATTGGAATATTACATCTTACTTTAGACGGTTTTGTAATTATTACATCTGGCCTTTGCAAGCTGAATTTAGCCTTAAATCTTGCCTTTATTCGTTATATTAGATCCGACATTTTGAATTTTTAAAAACGGACATCATATTCGTAATCAGCGACCCCAAAAACCCCCGAGTAACGATTTTCAATTCAATTGGATCGATTTTTAAAAATGTCGTCCGACATATTGGATCCGCCATTTTGAATTTTTAAAAACGGACATCATATTCGTAATCAGAGACCCCAAAAACCCCTGAGTAACGATTTTCACGTCAATTGGATCGATTTTTAAAAATGTCGTCCGCCATATTGGATCCGCCATTTTTAATTTTTAAAAACGGACTTTAGATTCGTAATCAGCAGACGAAAATCTTAAGGGAACCAATTGGTCCGATTTTTTTTAACATTATTATTCGATTATATTGCATATTCTAATTTTGGACATGGCCTCCTTTGACCCCCTGTATTTCGGAAAGGGGGAACATGCTCATCTTGAAATTTTGCAGGGATTATTGGGTCATCATATGTAACCATTTGTCATAAAAAAAGTTTCAAAATTCGAGGTACGAAAAAGGGGCATTTTTTGCATGGGGCTTGCCGAGGCTCTTTTCCTGCTGATCGTTGGAGAAATAGGCGTTGGTGGGATAGGCCTATTAATCAAGCCAGGAGAGATCATGGTGACTACTACCATTTATTTCAGCAATTGAAATTTGATGGCACCATGATGCACCGCTATATAAGAATGGATTTAGATACGTTTAATGAACTATTAAGATTAGTTCATCCATATCTCGTAAAAAGAAGTCCACGAGCTTTACCACCAGAACACCGATTACTCACGGCATTAAGGTACTTAAAAAGTCTTAATTGGATAAAATTGATTAAAATTATTAATTTAGCCAAGAATTTTAAATACAAAGTTTAGAAAGAAGTGAAATTTGGAAGAGTTTAAATTAAGATGAAATAATTGAATTTTTGGAGATTTTTAATTAAAATTGTTCTTTTAAAATGCTAAATATTTTATATAAGCTTCCGATTCTAGGTTCTAGGATTTCAAAATTCGAATTACTTAAAGTTCTACTGAATAAGAATTCTAATAAATTAAAAATAGGTTAAATTAGTCTTAGTCTCTTTCTACGCATCGAAGCCTGCATTTTCTATAGGTTTTGAGTGCGTTATTTTCGATTCCGGTGTCAAAAATGACTAAATCAAAATTAATTATGACGGTTTTAATGTCAAAAAACACAAGAAAATTTTCACTTCTTTAAGTTTGATATTTTTTTAATTCGAAGAAATGCAAGAATTTTTTAAAAAGTATTTTAAAAGTGGATTTCTGAAAGTATTAGGTGTTGAAAAATGTAAAAAAAAGAAATCGATTTTTTGAAAATTCTATAATGTGAGTACTAGTACCTTAAATGAATGCACAATTTTATTATCAAAAGTTTCTTGACTTTTACATCAACAAATTTTATATATATTTTTTCTAGGTACTATGCAACTGGAGATCTAATCCTATCTGTGTCACTTGCATTTAGGATTGGAGAGACCACTGCTAGAAACATTATTAAAGAAGTGGCGCAAGTTTTAGTTCAAGTACTTGCACCTACTTATTTGCAGCCCCCAAACACGCAGAAATGGTGCGAAATAATGGCGCATTTTTTGAGGGAATGGAATTTTCCAAACTGCGTAGGAGCACTAGATGGAAAACATTTTCCAATAAAAGCTCCACCTAACTCTGGCTCTCTCTATTATAATTATAAAAAGCAATTCAGCATTGTTCTATTGGCAACTTGTGATGCTTCTTATAAATTCACTCTTGTGCATGTTGGAGAAATGGGAAGCAATAATGACGCTGGAATATTCAACGAAAGCCCAATTGGACAATCCATGAGAGGACAGGAGCTTGGATTACCTCTAGGTAGAGCAGCACTTCCTGGAACTGAGTTAACAACTCCACCTTTATTCCTTGGAGATGGGATTTTTCCAACTAAAAGAAATTTAATAATTCCTTATAGTGGAAATAACCTTGATGAGGCGACCAGAATTTTCAATTACCGACTGTCTAGGGCACGACGGGTAATTGAAAATGCCTTTGGTATTTTAGTTGCTCGCTGGAGGATTTTTAAAAGGATTTTGGAGTTGGAAGTCGATTGCATTGACTTAATAATTCTGGCAACAATATGCTTGCACAATTTTTTAAGATCAAAACATGAACTCGAAAATCCACCTGTAGTGCAATATTGCCCCCCCAGATTTGTAGATTGGGAAGATAGAGGAAATGTTTACCCTGGAGAGTGGAGAGGAAACAACCAGGGCCAATTGCATCCTTTGCCAGTAGTTCAGGCTGCTAACGAAACAACAGAGGGTAGGAGAATCAGAAATATTCTCATGAACTACTTTCAAACTGCAGCAGGCGAAATTCCGTGGCAGTACGATTATGTTCGAGATACCGGAAATTAATGTCATTTAAATGAACCTCTCATGACCTTCATATTAGTGCTCTTTTATATAATTCCATTTTCTTGTAGACTCCTTGGGACTTCACTTTTTTCATTGGTTTTAAAGATATTTTAAATATATTGTGAACTACAAGTATTTCTTTCAAAATTGGATAATTTAGATGATTAAAAAAATTGTACAACATTATTAAACGATTCGAATGAAGTATAAAAAGCTTATTTATATATAATCAAAATTTAAGATGAAAAATTTTATTAACAGTTTTGTTCTCACCAATTTGTGCACAAATCTTAAGCACTAACGGCGTAAAAATGTGTTTTCTTTATAATTTTATTTTATAAATTTATTTACTGCGTATTAAGCAAATATTTACAAAAAGTTGTTAGCACAAATTAGACTAGCACAATAATAAGGTTCCAGATGAACATTATTTTTAAACTGCACAAGCAAGTTACCTCATACTTATTTCGTCTTGAGAAACTTCAAGTAATTATTGTCTTTTATTTAATATTAATTATCACTTCATTAATTTCTATAACTTGTTTGTATTTTTGTTAATTAAAATATATTCAATTAATGTTTACCTTCAATAGTTTCGGGTGAAAGATTATGTTGGAAATAAAAAATATTTTTAAAAGAAGTGAATTTACCTGACTATTATTATTCATTGCTTTCTCTGATAAAAAAGTAATTAATTTTCTATAAAATACTTGAAGGGAGAAAATGTTATTTTCTTGATGAATTTATTCTCATCTTTTTTAATGGAAAGATAATGGTAAATCTTCGAAATTTATAGGATTAGAAAAATAATTTTATTGTCACAAACAATGTTATTGTTACAAAAATTGAATCAGCAACTAATTGAAAGAATAGAATTTTCTTTTAAGTTTTTAAAAGAAACGTTTAAACATTTATGAAGAATATAAAGCATAGTATCATCATTATCATTATAATCATTGGAATATTTGGAAACATTTTAAAAATGTAAGAATAATATTGCAATAAAAGTTACATATTATTCGTATAGTACTTGCAAAATGCGTTGTTTTTTTAATGCTCTTTTTCCTTCATCAAGATTAGATAATTCTGATGCTATTAAGTTGGCAAAGGCATTATCGGCTGAAGAATTATTACTATCATCAGTTTCTGAGTTCTCTGAATTTTTGTTAGCAAGACGTTTTTATCATTATTGACGATAAATGAAGAAAAGATGACTGAATTGGGTCCTCTTCTTCTGATTCGCTATGCTCTTCATTGTGCGGATAATAAAATGATGAATTGGAAGCATGTGATGTACTTGGAACAGGACCCGGAACATTACAGAAAATCCTTCGGTAACACAAAGCATATAGGATATTTTAATGACGTTTATTGAAATAAATTAATGTGTGTGTGGACGTCCGCATGAAATGGTCCCATTTTTGCGCTATTGGACCTACATAGGCATATTCTTTGCGAAATTTGGAAAATTTTAAGCGGCCTTAGAACTTTCTACGTAAAAAAACTAAGGAATTACAGAATTTCAAAGTTTACAATGCCGAAAACCTCATTTTGAAAAGAGTGCACGGTGAGCTTCGTTTAGGTTCAACCTAAACTGCATGACCCTTCTCAGGTTTTTTTTTATATCAGTTCGGTGATGCCTCACGATCATTTTAAGACGAAAATTAAAATAATCGTTGGAGGGAAACTCAAATTATATTGATTTTTAAATTTTTTTTCTAGGTTATTGAAGATATTTTCATTAAAATACCGTTTGGTAAAATACTTATTGCTTCAAAAGCTACAATTTAACATAAAAATAGATTATATATAATAATTAAACCATTTTGATACATAGAATTAAGAAAATGTTTAAAAATAGTCGAAAAAACTGAAATTTTTCTAATTTTTTAAACTTTACTCCTTTATTTAACGTTATTTCAATAAAGTCATGTAGAAGTGAATTAAAGTACATAAAATTTCCTGTAAATTAAAAAAAAACTCTTCTATCTATTACCGTTACAAAAATATGGTCATTTGAATTTTAAATTTAATGGATAAATAGTTAAAATTTAACATTAGGTCTAGATTATTTGGTAAAATTGTTTTCGCAGAACTTCATCTCAATTCCATATTATAATACGTATAAGAAGGTTTAATCTTGAATAGTTTCAAATTGAAAAAACTGACTTATCTCACTTACATCGAAAGTTACATTGGTTTAAAGAATGTCTATTTCTATAAGAGAGATTTGAGTAGTTTTTAAAAATTCGTTTATTTTGAAAAATTACTTTTTTTTGAAAATATTTACTTTTTAAAAAAGTAAATATTTTAAATATGATTATGTTGCATTTTTCAAAATAAACGGATTTTTAAAAACTACTCAAATCTCTCTTATAGAAATAGACATTCTTTAAACCAATGTAACTTTCGATGTAAGTGAGATAAATCAGTTTTTTCAATTTGAAACTGTTCAAGATTAAACCTTCTTATACGTATTATATTATGGAATTGAGATGAAGTTCTGCGAAAACAATTTTACCAAATAATCTAGACCTAATGTTAAATTTTAACTATTTATCAATTAAATTTAAAATTCAAATGACCATATTTTTGTAACGGTAATAGATAGAAGAGTTTTTTTTAATTTACAGGAAATTTTATGTACTTTAATTCACTTCTACATGACTTTATTGAAATAACGTTAAATAAAGGAGTAAAGTTTAAAAAATTAGAAAAATTTCAGTTTTTTCGACTATTTTTAAACATTTTCTTAATTCTATGTATCAAAATGGTTTAATTATTATATATAATCTATTTTTATGTTAAATTGTAGCTTTTGAAGTAATAAGTATTTTACCAAACGGTATTTTAATGAAAATATCTTCAATAACCTAGAAAAAAAATTTTAAAATCAATATAATTTGAGTTTCCCTCCAACGATTATTTTAATTTTCGTCTTAAAATGATCGTGAGGCATCACCGAACTGATATAAAAAAAAACCTGAGAAGGGTCATGCAGTTTAGGTTGAACCTAAACGAAGCTCACCGTGAGTGAAGTTAAAGATTGAAATTCAAATACACCTCCCTAATGATAAACCAATAGGTTTGTAAATTTTCTTTACTTCGAGTTTTGAAAATAATGACAAACGAGAAACTCGAACCTTTTCTAAAAAATGCGATTTTTAATTAATGAATCGAATTCTGTTACAAAGTTTATGTTTGGAAATGATTGCATTGGCTACTTTAAAGCAGAAGAAATAAAACGAAACTGAATTAAATTTGTTTAAAAGTTTTTATTATAAATAATCTTCGAAAATGACGAAAATTTCATTTTCCGTCAAGTTATTCAGTTTATAATTCTTTTAAGCCAGAAGTACTTTTCTGATGACAAATCAATAGGTTTAAAATTTTTTTTTAATTATTAATACTTGTTAATATTCGAAAATAATGTGAAACCAACAAAGTGGGACCTTTTATCTTTTTTTAAAAACGATGAAATTAAATATTTAGATTAACAAAAAAATATTCCGGGTGCATTTTTCGACTCCTAAGACCCTGTAGATTGATTGAAAAGAAATATTAAAAAATTTAAGATTTCTGGTCGAAAATAGTAAATTGCTATTTTTCCGATATCTAGATCTGACCAAGTTTGACTTTTACATGCGGATGTCCACATACATATATGAAAGAATTTTTTTATTTTAGTAATTAGTTCAATTCATAATTAAGTGTGAACATCATTGAGCGAATATTTTCAAATGAAATGAATTTTTCGTTTCGAGGCATCAGGAATCTTAAAGAGCAAAAAAAATGTGCTTCAAAATCATCAAGTGGCAGAATTCTAATGTTCTACCTATTGCTATAGCTATTGTAATGTTTTTTTGCCTTCAAAAAATTGAATAATTGTAATTAATTACAATAAACCTTGTCATTAAAGTGTTGTGGTTTTTCTAATTAAAATATTGGGAATTTAAAATTAATAAAATTGGCAAATTCCAAAATTTGAGTCAAAAAATTAAAAACATTATAAGTATGGGAAAATTATTTCAAATTTGGCGTAGAATATTTTTTGTGCTCCTCGTTTAAATGTTCTTGCCGAAATACTAAAATTTGAAATTTGCAAATGTTATATTATTTTATTACTTTCATTAATTTTACTACATTCTTAATGAAAATGTCAAATTCGGTACTTTAAGAGTAATATTTTGAAAATTCTATAGTTGTATTATTTATTGCACTATAACTTGCACTTGAAGTATTCTGATGGTGTTTAATTAAAATTTTATCTCTAGAATAGTAAAATGTGAAATTGTAGCATTATAAAATTTAAGAATCTAAAAACGTAAATGAGTCTTCGATTAAGATAATTACAGTAGAAATTGCAAATTCGGAATAGAGTAGTCAAATATTTGAAGAATAAAATATTGAAAACTATATTTATAATTGTAATAAGCCGTTAAACTAAGTGCAGAGGAATTTTCATGTCTCTGATTAAATTTTGTAAATGAAAGTAGTAAAATTAACAATTTGAACTACAATATGAAGGACTTCAATATTTGAAGATCAAAATGTTGAAAATTATATAATTGTAATTAACTCCACTCGAACTTTGTAAAGAAATGATCTTTGGCTCAAATATATATTTAATTCTCAAAATATTAATAATATAATATTTGTGATTAATTGCACTGCAGCTTGATACATGAGCCTTATTTAGGTCATTCGTACTGTTTTTATGTCAAAATAGTAAATTTACTATTAACAAGAAGTTAAAGTTATGCAAACAGCTCGAAAATTCGGGTCGAGTCGAGCTGACATTTTTTTCGAGTCGAGCCGAGTTGAGGTAGATCTTTATCGATGTACCGAGTACTATATACTTTCGAGTCGTCAAATATTTTATAGTTTTCAATTAAATTCGAAAACTCAAAATTTTCGATAACTTCAAAAACTTCGAGAACTAGATTGCATACTAGTTCTCCAAAATTTGAAGTACTCGAACACTTTCGAGTTATCGAGTG